AAACAGCACCGACTCCCAGGTCAGAAGCATCCACTTCTACAAAAAACTGTTTATGTGGGTCAGGATGGCACAAAATGGGGGCTTGAGAGAAACGAGCTTTCAACTCACCAAAAGCGTGGTTGGCCTCGGGAGTCCAGGAGAAGGTTCTTAATGTGGAAGTAAGTTGGGTGAGAGGTGCGGCGATACGACTGTAGTCCCTGATGAATCGTCTGTAAAAGTTTGCAAAACCAAGAAAACGTTGTAACTGTTTACGATCATTTGGAACTGGCCACTCTGAAACTGCCCGAACCTTTTCAGGGTCTGTCCTGAACTGACCCTTCTCCAAAATGAACCCTAAAAAGGACACAGATGATACATGAAACTCGCATTTTTCAGCTTTCACGTAAAGCTGGTTTTCTTGAAGTCTCTGGAGGACCGTTCTGACATGTAATTGGTGTTGCTGGATATCACGGGACAAAATGAGTATGTCGTCCAAATAAACGAATACACAAACATTCAAGAGGTCACCGAGTACATCGTTGATTAAAGCTTGAAACACTGCTGGGGCGTTGGTTAACCCAAAGGGCATGGCCAGGTACTCAAAGTGACCTAAAGGGGTCTTAAATGCTGTCTTCCACTCATCTCCTTCTTTTATCCGCACAAGGTGATAGGCATTACGGAGGTCCAGTTTGGTGAAGATGGTGGCTGTGTGGAGCTGGTCGTGAATGGAATCTAACAGGGTCAAAGGGTACTTGTTTTTAACTGTAATTTGGTTGAGTCCTCGGTAGTCAATGCAGGGTCTGAGAGACTTATCCTTTTTGGCAACAAAGAAAAATCCTGCCCCTAGGGGAGATTTGGAGGGGCGGATGATACCAGAAGCTAAGGATTCGTCTATGTAAGTTTCGTGGCCTCTTTTTCGGGACCGGAGAGATTATAGAGGCGACTGGAAGGAAGTACTGAATCAGGTATTAAATCTACGGCGCAGTCRTATGGTCTATGGGGAGGTAAAGAAAGTGCCTTACTTTTACTGAAAACAGATGCCAAATCATGATAAACTTCAGGTATAGAGGACAAATCTGCCTCTTCAACAGGTTACTCCCCTTTAACGGACGACTTTAAACAGTGTTGTAAGCAAAAAGTACTCCAGTTCTCGACACTCYTTTTCTTCCAGTTGATAACTGGGTTATGCAGGGACAGCCACGGAAAACCAAAAATAATTTGTGGAGAAGTAGAATCAAAAACCACAAACTCACCCAAGTCATGGTGGTTTCCCGACACAATCACATGCAGACTGGGGACGAATCTGTTGACCTGGGATAGGAGCTGTCCTGTGACGCCGGCGATAGAGCGAGGAGGATCGAGTGGAGATGTGGAGATTTCCAGTTGTTCCACTAGGTCACTTGAGATTAAGTTCTGTTCAGCACCTGAGTCCACAAGGGCCGAAATCGGTAGCTTGGTTTGCCCACAAACTACCGTAGCGGGAAGGAAAAACAAAGAGTTAGGGGAGAAATTGTCCTGTCTCGTCAGCTTCCCCTGTTCTACTGACGAGACTGCCCGTTTCCCCGCAGCGAACAAGTGGCGACGAAATGTCCCTTGTTGCCACAGTAAATACAAAGTTTAGCCGCAAACCCTCTCTGTCTTTCCTCTGGAGTCAGCCGTGTGCGTCCAATTTGCATGGGTTCAGTGGAATTAGCAGCATCTGTGGCGTTAGAAGGCGGAAACTCACCACTGATGAGGGGAGTGGGGACCCGGGGAATCTGGGAAATGTAGTTCCTCTCCTTTCGTTCTTTCAGTCTGTTATCAATACGAATAGACACGGCGATTAATTCATCCAGACTTCCGGGTTCATCCCGGGAAGCCAATTGATCCTTTAGTTGCTCCGACAAGGAATTTACATAAATACCTTTTAACGCGAGTTCCTCCCAGCCTGCCTCCTTGGCAACAATTCAAAAATCCACTGAGTGTTCAGCTGCGGACTTATTACCTTGTCGGAGATTGATTAGCCGCTTCGCTGCCTCCTCCTGCTGGAGGGGATGGTCAAATACACACTGGAATTCTTGAATGAAAAGCTGAGAGGTGAGGGTGTCAGAGGAATGTGCAGACAGAAACGCTTGAGCCCATCTGAGGGCTTTTCCTTTTAAAGCCGAAACAATATAAGTTACTCGGGCTGAGTGGGTAGGAAAAAATGACAGGGAACGAGCAAAGGCTAATCGACATTGGAGCAAAAAACCGGCACACTGATTGTCTCCATCAAAAAACTCAGAAGGACGGATGTCCGGTTCTCTAGTAGTTAAAGCAGGCGAGGGGCGTGGCGGCTGGAGGTAAAACAGGATTGACAGGAAGAACAGTATTTAATTTACTATCGAGGGCAGAAATATGTTGAGTGATTTGACTTAATAACGCTCTAGTTTCCTGTTGCGCTAAATATAATTGATTAAGTTTTTGATCATGATCCATAATTTTACATTCTGGTTGACTAGTGGCTCCAAGGGTCTGATTGTCAGTAGTATTGCTCACGGACATRTGACTTGGCTGAAGCATACTATCAGGTTGGCAGGAGGAGGTCAACGTGAGCAAATACTAATAACAAACAGAGACCGAGACAATGGATAAAAAAAGGTAAGTGAGTTTATTTACAC